TCAGACGTTGCTTTAGGTCTCTAAATCTCTTATTTATTTATTTATTTACTTTTGTTATTTACTGACGAAACAGTTCAGTTCTAGTTGTCATTTTAGCAGTTTTCTCTTCATTATCTTTTCTCACATTCAGGTCCATTACACTGAAGAAGTGGATGAAAGATCAAAAACTAAAGCACTATTCTGATCAAGTAAATATGAAAGCTAATATATTATCACAAGTTGCTGTGCTTAACAATATAACAAGCTTCAAGCTCTTTAATGTCTTCTTTGGAAACAGAATAAATTTGTTGATGCTGAGAAGCTTCAATGGCTTCTTCATGAAAACCTACTTAGAGGTGAATGTTTTGATAATCCTGTCCATTCTATGTGAAATATACTGTCTGTAGCTAGTTTTGAAATCTCACAAATTTTGTGACATATACCATATAGGGCAGGGATCCTCAAATCTGGCCCACGAGATCCACTTTCCTGCAGAGTTTAGCTCTAACCCTAATCAAACACACCTGAGCATGCTAATCAATGTCTTCAGGATCATTAGAAAATCACAGGTAGCTGAGTTTGATCAGGGTTGGAGCTAAACTCTGCAGCGCATTGGCCCTCCAGGGCAAGATTTGAGGAACCCTGATATAGGGTATAAAAACACTGAAGGATTTGGCCTGGTTCCTGTAGCGGTATAATAGCCATGTCAGATGTATCCTTTATTCTTTAAGCATGTAATTAAAAACGTAAAAATAATTTTTTGAATCATGATGATTTATCTCCCAGGTTAAGCTTGTATTTGCAGTCATATTGTAAAGAAACATGTTTTAGCTCTAGAAATTTTCCATGACTGTAACAATAACAATAGTTCAATGTTACAGGAAGACTCCGCGGACCAGAATTCATTCGTCTCTGGAACCGTATTTTGACATACAAGGTGAGTAGATTTGAGTGAGGAATTTAAAAATATAAAGATCTTCAAATAAAGATGGAAGAGATGTGTTTTTAGCCAATTCTTGAAGATGGCTAAGGACTCAGCTGCTTGGACGGAGTTGGGCAGGTCATTCCACCAGGAGGGAACATTTAATTTAAAAGTCAGAGAAAGTGATTTTGTGCCTCTTTGGGATGGCATAATAAAGCGACATTCACCTGCAGAACGCAAGCTTCTAGAGGGCACATAGGTCTGAAGTAATGAATTTAGGTAAAGGGGTGCAGAGCCAGTGGTGGTTTTGTAGGCAAACATTAATGCCTTGAATTTTATGCGAGCAGCTATTGGTAGCCAGTGCAAATTGATAAACCGAGGTGTGAAGTGCATTCTTTTCGGCTCGTTAAAAATTAATCTTGCTGACGCATTCTGGATTGATTGTAAAGGTTTGATAGAACTGGCTAGAAGACCTGCCAAGAGAGCATTGCAATAGGCCAGCCTGGATAGAACAAGAGCTTGAACAAGGAGTTGTGAAGCATGTTCCGAAAGAAAGGGCCTGATCTTCTTGATGTTGAATAAAGCAAATCTGCAGGACC